GGGTCAGAGGGAGAAGCAGACTCCCTGCCGAGCAGGGAGCCTGATTGCGGGACTCGATCCAGGGACTCCAGGATCATGACCTGAGCCGAAGGCAGTTGCTTAACCAGCTGAGCCACCCAGGTGCCCTCAGATTGACTCTTAACTGGAAAGGAAGAGCCAAAGGCTAAGAGGTTTATGCTCAGAACTTGCCTATTTATTCTTACTGTAGCAGAGTACTGTGATTATTGTCATATGACAGTTGAGGAAACAAAGCCTGGAGTGAGTCAGTCATACAGGCATAGACAGAAGCCTGTGACTTTGCCGTCATATCTCACTTCTCTAGGCAACCTCCTATGGTCATAGGATGGTGGAATTAATTCAACACCTCCAATTATGTCTTCCAACTTTCAGACCTCACCCTTCGACAACAAAAGATGTACATTCCCACTCCACAATACTTTTAAAAACTTTTTTTTTTTTTTCCCTTACCACACTATTTCAAAACTCGGGGTGGCTCCTTGCTTCTAAAAGGATTCCATTAGCCTTCATGGAGTATGCTTTTCAATCTGACCCTCACCTACCTTTCCAACTCATGTCCAATGCAAACTGTCATTCTAGCAAAACCAGTATGTCCATTGCCCCTAGGTAAATGCCGTAATTGTGCTTTCCTTTGCTCGTGCTGGTCTGACAACTGAGGATATAGGTTATCCCCCTTTGGCCCATCTATACTAATCAAAAAACAGCTCAAATCTCACCTAGTCCATGGAGCCTTGTTTTCTGACCTCACTCTTGACTGATACTGCATTCCACTAACAGCATTAATAATAGACAAGCACTGTTCAATAGAAATATAATGAGAACCACAAATGCAAGCCAAATATATAATTTTAAATGTTCTAATATTTATATATATATTTATGTATTTAAAGATTTTATTTATTTGTCAGAGAAAGAGAGAGAGCATAAGCAGGGGAAGCTTTAGGCCGAGGGAGAAGCAGGCTCCTCACTGAGCAAGGAGCCCAATGCAGGACTAGATCCCAGTACCCTGGGATCATGACTTGAGCCGAAGGCAGATGCTTAACTGACTGAGCCACCCAGGCGTCCCCTAATATTCATATATTTAAAAAGCTTAAAAAGGTGAAATTAATTTCAACAATATATTTTTTATCCAATATATCCAAAATACTGTAATTTTAATTGTAGTCAGCATAAAAGTTGACATTTTACATTCTTTTTTTCATACAAAGTCTTCAAAAATATGATGTATATTTTATACTTAACAACACATCTCAGTTCAGACCAACCACATTTTAAGTGGTTATTAGCCACATGTGGCCAGTGGCTGCCATATTGGACAGAGCACGTCTGGACCATTCAGCTTAATAGTTATCTATGAAGTTATATTGTTGTTTAAATAGCTTGTGTGTGTGTGTGTAAAATTTTTCTAAGGGGAAGAAGATGTCTCACTTTTCATAATTTCCTTCATGACCAGCATTATAAAGGCACTGTGGGAAGTTAGAGTTTAGAGAGGCCTTGTTTAATTGTTCATCTATTTATTTTTCAAACAACTGTGTGCCCACTGTAAGAGAGATATTATAGGAGGCACTAGGGATATAAAGATGAATGAAACAGCCCTTAGTATAACGATCTTAACTTAAACAGCCCTTAGTAGAACCTGAGGGGTACTTGAGAATGGTCTATGTCAAAGCAGGGAAAAGAGCTCCCCTACGCTTGTGGTCTTCCAATTCTGTGCTCTTACGACACCTTCTGACACCCTCTGCCACCTTTCCTGAGTTGGTCATTGGCTTGGACATGTGGATTATCAGGCTACTTGAGGTTTAGTCTGGAAATGACCATCTGGGAAGTTGGGAACATCATACAACTATCTCATTTCTCTTGACAACATTCTTGGGTCAAATAAACTCATTAGATAACCAAAGCAATTTGTTACATTGTTTAATAAAAATAGACTCTAGTAGAAGGGAAGATAACAATTTTCTGTTTGGACATTGTCCTGAGAGGGGAAGCTGGGAAACTCTGGCTCATAAGGCAGCCTATTCTAATTTTAGACACCTTTAATTTTTAGAAAGTTCTTTCTAAAGATCTATCTCCCTGAAACTTCTTGAAATCCAATTATCATCTCAATTTTTTTAGTTGAGGAGGTGAGGGAAACTGGTGCCTAGGCCAACTCAGTTATTATGATGTGGGAATTAGTATTAGGAATTTTTTTAAATATTCATTTATGGTATATGTCACTATTTTGATATCCTAATGTAACTGATAAAATTGTGGCTTTTTTTTTTTTTTTTCCCCTTCACTGAAACAGCATAGTTAAGGAACAAACTAGTCTGTAACATTCTGGCTAGTGCTTAGCTCTTCAGGTCCCACTTCTCTTTTAGATAACATTATATAAATCTTTCTCAACCAACAGAAGTATTATTCTCCTGAATAAAAAAAAAATGGCTTCTAAAATGTTGTATGTCTTTTTCCCCCCAAAGTTGGGATATTTTTTGCACATAATGGCTAAACATAGTTTTCTTAATAACTTTCAACTTCTCTAGAGTCAAACATTGCTTTGATTTTAATTCAACAGTCTGTCTATTTTAAAAGCATGTCAGGTATCAAGACCAGGCACGTACAGTTCTTAGCATATGCTTAAGAGATATGTAACCTTGGAAAACAGACCTGGTTCTCTTTCATGTGTTTTAGTTTGTGTATTGGAAAGATGAGTAAAAGCATTACTTTGAAGAAAGTGAAGGTGTTGTGGAAAATAGATCTAAGATCAGGATTATTTAATTCATTAACTAAAGAAATGCTAAATGTCTACTTTCAAATTCTATTTCTCTCTGATTTATTTTTCAATGTAAAATACAACATTTAAAAACCACCCAAGGGGCACCTGGGTGGCTCGGTCGTTAAGCGTCTGCCTTTGGCTCAGGTCATGATCCCAGGGTTTTGGGATGAGCCCCACATCCGGCTCCCTGCTAGGCGGGAAGCCTGCTTCTCCCTCTCCCACTTCCCCTGCTTGTGTTCCCTCTCTCGCTGTCTTTCTCTGTCAAATAAATAAATAAAATCTTTAAAAAAAAAAAAAAAACCACCCAAAGGAGGAAATTGGTAATCTTTATGATTTTATTCCAAAATGTTTATTTCCACTTCACTCCTTTTAGAATTTATAAGAGGGATTCAGCAATCAAAGAGAGTATTATCAAACAAGGAAGGAGACAGGGAAAGTTGCAATTATTTGAAAAAAAATTGGACTTACCATTAAAATAGCCAGAGCCCCTGATGTTCTGAAAAGGAGCCAAGTCATTTTCTCTGATTTCCCTGGTGGACAAATCCAAGGAAGCTGCTGCTTCAGTCCTTCCAACTGTCTGCATATGATGTCTAAGAAAAGCCCTTTGGTAGCGTCTCTGCTTCCTGGAGTGTACAGATAGTCTGTTATGCAGCTCTTCCCCACCCTAAACCAAAGATTGGTCTCACCAGAAACGCTTGCATCATTTTTGCTCCCAGGTAAAAACTTAGACACACCTCAATTCCAAAAGCAATGAAATCCTTTGTTGGAAGCTGAAAGAAGTGCACAGGCTGAAGACAAGGTATACTTGTCTTGAAGGTCCCAGATGAATAATAAATTAATCATGGTGTGGAAGTGCAAAGCTAGTCCTGACTACACTGAAAAAGAATCTAGTTGGCTTTTCTTCGGGGTTACAATTAAAACTGAGAAGCAAAACAAAACATACAAAAATCCCCCAAAACCTAACTTGTGGAAGATCATTTGTTTTTAGTCTGAATATATGTGGGCAGATTGAAAGTTAAGCGAAATGTCAGTGTGAAGTAATAATATACTTTATTGAAAGTCATACAAATTCGAAGAAGAAAACCATCGCATTAAGCAACTCTTAATACAGGTTTTGGAAAAAAAATAGAAATAATTGAAAAACAATCAAAAAAATAATTAGAAATAACTGAAGATAAGTAGGAATAACATTGGAGTAAACAGTTACATGGAGCCTTGGATATTTGAAATATATAAATAATGCATTGCAAAACCAGATCCCTGATAATAATCAGATGACATCTTTCCCCTTGTATTCCTTTTCATTTATAAATTTATAAATTAAACGGTACGTTGCCTAGTGAAGGTTATCTTTGTGCACTTTTAATTACTCAAAACATTTCCTCCAGAGCAGTAAACCCTCTTGCTGCCATATATTTATGCACTTCTAAATATGTGGACGCCAACCTAAGTTAGGGGATAGGCGAAAATCTACTAACACCACTTTAGTTTGCTTATAACACTAGAGTTAAAAACGCTTTTAAACATTCCAGAATATTTATTTTATTTTATTTTATTTTAAAGATTTTATTTATTTATTTGACAGAGAGAGACACAGCGAGAGAGGGAACACAAGGGAGTGGGAGAGGGAGAAGCAGGCTTCCCGCAGAGCAGGGAGCCTGATGCGGGGCTCGATCCCAGGACCCTGAGATCATGACCTGTGCTGAAGGCAGACGCTTAATGACTGAGCCACCCAGGTGCCCCAAAACATTTTTTTTGAGATTTTATTTATTTATTTGACAGAGACAGTGAGAGAGGGAATACAAGTAGGGGAAGTGGGAGAGGGAGAAGCAGGCTCCCCACTGAGCAGGGAGCCCGATATGGGGCTCGATCCCAGGACCCTAGGATCATGACCTGAGCCAAAGGCAGACGCTTAATGACTGAGCCACCCAGGTGCCCCTAAATATTCCAGAATATTTAAAGAAAGTTTTGGTAGAAGAACAATTTTATCTTTGTAAGTATTTGTGCATCAGGTTTTGGAAGCGTTTTAATTTCAGGGAAACCATTTAATCACAGAGTATTTTATTTTATTTTTAATTTTTTAAAATTTAAATTCAATTAGCCAACACATAGTACATCATTAGTTTTTGATGAATCACAGAGTATTTTAGACAGAAATTATTTCTAGTCTAAAGGTTAGGGAAAAAAACAGCTTGTGGGCAAACTCTTGTTTTTCTTAAATTGTGGTAAAATATGCATAACAAAATTGATTATTTTAACCATTTTTAAGTGTAAAGCTGAGTGGAATTAATGGTATACTCACATTGCCGTGCAATCATCACCAAGATCCATCTCCAGAAAAATGTTGTGTTTTTGTAATAAAGTTTTTGTAAATAAAGTTTTATTGGAACATAGACATGCCCATTTGTTTATGTGTTACGAATGACTGCTTTTGTGGTACAATGAAGAGTTGTGCAGAGCCTTTTATGAATAACATTGTAAACTTTGGGGCAGGAAAGAAGAGAAAAATTTAATGAATTCTTTTCTTTCCCATACTTTAATATCTTGGAATTCTTCAAAATATTGTACTAAAGACAAAAGAGAGGGGTGCCTGGGTGGCTCAATCAGCTAGCCTTTGGCTCAGGTCATGATCTTAGGGTCCTGGGATTGACCCCCCCCCCAGTGGGGAGTCTGCTTTTCCCTCTCCCTCTGCCTCCTCCCCACTGCTCATGCTGTCTCTCTCTGTCTCTCAAATAAATAAATCTTAAAAAAATAAAGACAAAAGAGATTAAAAAGATGATAACAGTGAATTATGATATTCCTAGTCATACCCATAAGTTGCATTGAATCTAGATTCTAGACATGGTTTACTTTGTTCTGATTTACCTGTTCTAAAATTCTAGTTCTTTGACAACTTTAATTAATTAGGGGCTTCCACTCCTTCCCTACCTGAACACAGGTAAGGAAATATTTTACTTTTGTATTTTAAAATACCAGTTCCAGATTATTGATCAGGTGGTATGTAAAAACTGTGGGCATCCTTGTAGGAAGAAATATACCCGACTTGGCCTGTTGCAACCTGGCTCCATCTACTTGTCCCAGTCAGGGAGGATTGTAGAAATCCACAACAAATCCCACTGTGCATTCTACAGGCAGGCAGTGCTCTCTGATCTTCCATGTGCTCTTGACAATACTTTAAGCCAACACTTCCTTTTGTTTGGAGGATTTGAGACTTCAGTAAGGTAATAAAACATGTTGTTGGGGCCTGATTTACATGGTGATGAGAAGGTAGTGGAGGTTACTTCTGCAAGGGAGAGCATTTGCATAATGCCTTTGGACTAAGCAGTGTTTTCACTTGCCATTTCATTTGTTTGTGAAAAGGAAAGAAGGGAGCATTTTCCAGTGGTTTCTGTTGAGTGGTTATGTTATTACTCTCTGAATAATGGCTTTGGAAACCTAAACCCAACTTAAAACTGGCTCTTACTCCAGAGGCTGAAATAGAAATGAGGATCATAACAATAATAATCATAATCATTAGAAGGGAGCTCCGTTGTATGCGTATATTGTGGTTCAACTGATGCACCATATTGAAAATATAACAGTTGGACAGTAGGACACATCACAGGTTATAAAGCTAAAGAAACCATTCCTTAGTTTGCTAAAAATTGAACCACAGCATAAGGAGTGAAGCAATAAGAATGAATATTTATTCAAGTGGGCGGTAGCTTCTGAGGTTTCTGTGATTTCTAAACCCTTATTATCTATAACAATTCTATTATTCACCAAGTAGAGTATGTTAATGAGACTTTGCCTTCACTGGTTTTTGTTTGTTTTGACTGGAAACATGTATGTAATATATTTTATATGTCAGACATTACTACTTTCTTGTATTTAATCGTTCTTGAATATCCAAAATCCATGAATTAAGATACTAGTTCCACAAATCATGCATTAACAGAATTATACGTATATCTTGAAGTGGCCTGCAAAAGTTGTGACCCATCACCCTTGGTTGTTCAAGGTCATGGAAATCAGACTTCTTCCATTACAATCATACCTGAAGGCATGCAGAAATGTCAGAGAATGTAATAATTGTACATCAGCAGAGAAGAGTCTGCACTTTAATAATTAGTGAAAATAGAGCTGTTAATCCGATTTTCTATTAGATGGTGTGTAACATGATTCACTATGTTTCTGTAATTCCTGGAATTATTTCTTTAAAAAGATTTGTGTAGTTTTTATCATATATTGATTGAAGCCCAAACTTCAGAAGGGTGATTATAGGTGACTGCATATCTAAAAAAATTTTATATAAGCTGCAGACTAGGGTCAACATCTTTTTGCTTCGATTTAATCTGATTAGGCAATTGCTTCTTTCTGGGAGTATTTTTGTCAGGTAATAAGCATGAAGGAGGAATTTTTCAAATGCACATCATGCTCACTCCAACATTCTTTAGGAATAGCTTTGATTTGGTTCTTGTGGTTTGCTGGAGATCGAAGTGAATAGGTGGGATCTATTTGCAAAATGTATTCGGAATCCATCAGGTTCTTATCTTCTATGGGCTTCTGCACTAGCCAGATTCCTAACATCTCTCATGTAGACCAGGCAATGGGACGATGCCTGAGCTCTTGCTCCTTTCTCTTCTCTTGCCCAGTCCACCCCTCACTCGGCACCCTGACTGCTACCTGTAAAAGGATTGTGGCTTCCAGCATACTTGGAACAGAAGCAGCACTGCCTGGCAAGGCCTACAAGGAACTGCCTGATCAACTCTGCTTTCCTTTCCAACCATATCCCACACTCCATCCCTCTCACATGTGTCTTCTTTTGTTCTCCAGAAACCCTCAGCTCTTTTTCTGCCTTAGACCTTCACTCAGTTTCTTTCTCTCCTGCCTGGCTTCTTCTCACTCATCAGGTGGTAGCTTCTTCGACCTTCTCAGTGAGGTCTCTCCTTCCGACTCCCCATACTTGGGCACTCTTTTCCTTATTATCTTTTTTATCAGTCATCCCAATTTGCTTTGCCTATCAGGCTTAGGACCATGTGTTAGCTGCTTTTTCTTAGTCAGATTGCTTATGTTGCCTTTCTCCACCACTTAACTGTGAGCTCTATCAGGGAGGAATCACATCTGTTTCATTTAATAGCATATTCCCAGGACTTCGCAGGGTGAACAAATGAATATATCTTTAAAAATTTTGTGCAAGTATTATCTGCTAGAACAAAGGACACATCCAGTTCAAAGTCTTAATAGATCATCATCCAAAAGGCTATACCAATTTGCACTCCTGGGGATAGTGTAAGAAAATGCCAGTCCTTCCTCCCTGCCAGGTATGATGTTTGTCACAGATAAATCTTTTCTGCTTCTTTTATGAGAAAACAGTACCCTTATGAAAAAAAAATTTTTAGTTCTGTTAAGAGATTTAAATGTTGTGGGACACTTGGGTGGTTCAGGGGGTTAAACGTCTGCCTTTGGCTCAGGTCATGATCCCAGGGTCCTAGGATCAAGTCCTGCATCGGACTACTTGCTCAGTGGGGAACCTG